TGCTTACACAAAGCAACAACATATAGATTCTCAAGATAATCAACTTGAAGTCTAAAATGTAACATCAACTAAATATAACAATTTAGCATAATAAGAATATCTAATACTACACATCAAGACATAGGTTCTCTAGGTTATCAACTAGAAATCTAAAAGTGTGTAATCAACTAAATATAGCAATTTAGTATGGATGTACTTAACAACATCAAAATGGTTCACAAAAATCATAAAACATAGATGTACTTAACAACATCAGAATGATTCATTAAAATCATAAACATAGATGTACTTAACAACATCAAAATCGCCAATAACCAAAACCACAAGTTACAATATAAACATGATTGTTAACTTGGAATTGAATGCGAAAACAAATAGTGGAAGACTTGGACATTTAAGCTCGGAATTCTGCCGAGACCTCAATGGTTATTCCGGGCACTAACCCGTAGGGAAGACCACCCTAAGTGCGCACTATCTCAATGACTTAGAGGACTCACGTCCCCGTAGTAGAGCCAAACCCTAGCTATCCCAACTCAACAATGTTCCAAGATTCCAAAATTAAACCAAATAAGTTCACAACTTATACATAACTTATATAATGCATGAAAGCACCTTCCATGCACAAGTAGGTTGAAACCACACAATCCATGTCTTAGAGTTTCAATTCTAAAATGACATACATAATGTCAATTATAAAGTGTGCAATTCACTACACATGGCATTAATATATTCCATAAAGAAAACATGTTCTCATGAATATAAATATAACAACAAAGTTATCCAATGCTCAAAACACAACAAAGTGAATACATAACAAGTTCAAGTCCATGATTTGAATATATAAATAACTTCTAAAATACCAATAGATCCATGGAGCCATTAGATAGAATTTAATTAAACAAGATAATCAAATTCTCTAGATTTCAAATCAAATTTGAATAACATCAAATTAATATATGTTAAACAACATAGTATGCTCATTACATATATCAAATCAAAAGTATCAAATGAGCAAGATAGCATCACATAGAATTTAATTAATTTAAATTAATCAAATCTCTAGATTTCAAAAGTTATTCAAATGATTCCAAATTAATATATATCAAGCACCAACTCATAGTCATACCATATCTCAAGTCCAAAATGGGATATAAGCAAAACACAATTTACTAGAATTTAAATCAAATTAAATTCTTTAAATCTCTAGATTTAAAAACTTATTTTAATCATCCCAATTTAATATACAACAAAGATCAAGTCATGGCATTGCCATATATCTAGTCCAAAATGAGTTATAAGCAACTACCATTAATCATAATTTCTCAAATTAATACAATAATTGCATACAAGTTGTATAAGTATCGAAAACATGCAAGATAACAAACATATATCCCTATAACGTCCCCTATCTCACTAGAGAAATGTCTCTCTAGAATCCAATGCAAAATCAACACAAAATGGCAAACCCTTCTAGGGTTATGAAGAGGAAGATGAGGGGAACAAAATGTATTCCCAAGTTCAAGCTTGGAAATCAATGGAAGGCTCTCAAAAATCAAGGTCAAAGCTTAAAGTTTTAGGCTCCATCCATGGAGGCTAGGGTTTTCTTTACAAGAGAGGGAGGAAATGAAAAATAATGAAGATGAAATGTGTGTGGAGGGGATAGAGATCCTCCACTCACTATGTGCTCTTACACTACCTCACACACACACACTAATGCAAGATCAAATTGTGAGTCTACACTTGTCACAAATCCAAGGCTCCATCCTAGGCTAAATCTCAAGCTTACACTTGTCAACCATCTAAGCTAACAAGTGCACCAATCCTAGGCCAACAAGTGGTTATATCTCCACCCTCCACATGTCCTCATCCAAGGCCTCAAAGTGTTTCCACACACATGTCAACAAGTGGACCAATGAGAGTGTGACACTTGTCACACTTTTCGAAAATTGCAAAAAAGTCCTTTTTGAAAATATCATCCAAATTAAATTGTAAAATGGTCCCTAAGATGAAAAATAATTATTTTACAGTAATTACACAAAACCCCAAAAGTTAGGAAAACTACAAAAAAGTTATGCGTCTATATCCTTGACAAAAAAGTAAGCACTTAGCATACTTTTCTACAAAAGTGAAAATACACATAGTATGGAATTTAAATATCGTGGATGCATGCAAAACTGGAATCAAATCCGAACACGAAAAGTGAGGTTATGCTAACAAAGTGACAACTGAGAAAAAGACGAAAGTGAATAGTGTCACAAAAGTGAAAATATAAAAATGACTCGGTCCTTAAAGGAAGTCGTCAATCCAAGGAAAAGAGTCTCGGAACCCATCCCCGAGCACAAAAGATGACACTAAGTGACGAGAAACTGAACTCAGAAAGGAAAAGATCAACGGAAAAAAAATATCTGTGAAAATCAGAGAAAAGGAAAGGAAGGAAAATGACCGAGTCATTTCATATATATATATATATATATATTTTTTTTTGAGTTTATCTTGCTGGGTTAGTTTTGACAATAGTTAAAAAGAAATGAAATTATTGTTTAAGCGATAGGAAATTCCTCTATTTGGTTGATGAGAAAATCTTGTCGAAAAAGATGCACTAAATTTTTTAATCTATTTATCCTATTTAACTAGGAGGAAACTGAATGGAATTGAAATCTTTGTAATAAGATAAACAAAGTTTTTGGATTTCTTTATCCCATTTGAGATAGGAGGAAGTGGAATGAAATTGAAATATTTGTTTGTATTATTATTATTATTATTATTTTTATAATACCAACTACATAAAAACATCTAATGTGAAGGGCTTCGCTAAAAGTTTATTTCAAGGTGAAATTGAATTTCGTGAAGCATATATGCTTAAAGATAATTCTCATAGTGTCATCGTTGTTCAGTTGCCTTCCATATAAAAAAATATTATACTGAAAAATTGTTGTAAAGAAGTCATCTTTGCTAGAAAATAGATTTAATGTTTTTTGATACCAAAATCTCCATGGTTCTGTTCCAGGTCTTGAGAGTGATTTTAAGTCTGACAATTAAGTCTCTTGATCTTAGTTTGAAGACATTAGAGAAGATGAGAAATATAGCACTAATACTTTCTTGCTAATTTGGAAATTATTTTTATGAATTGTGTAATGTAACCGAGGTAGATTTAGTGGGATAATTCACCACTTTTGGGCTATTGAATGGCTCAGGTTTGAAGAGTAATTGAGATAGTTTAAGAAACTTGTTCCTTTTGTAAATTTATTACTAGTATTATTAAGAACATATAAAAGATCGAACAAAAGAGGTATAAGATTAGGAATCAAGACATGGACCACATGACCAAGCCAAGGTAATAAAGGAGCGACACTCCAGACTAATGGAGACAAATTAAGGGTTGTTTGAATGCCTTATTGAATTGATTTTATTTTTTATTTTTTAACTTGACAATAAGAAAATAGTCATACGGCATCTACACAACACATTTATAAATGGCAGTACAGATGCAACAAAGCCAAGCTAGAAAACGGCAAACCAATCATGAAGCAAAATAAGAAAACTGAAGAACAAGCTCCAGATTTGTTGAGAAAGAGCTACCACTCAACAATGGAAGCTACCAAAGGAGAAGAGTAGCAACGGAAGTGACCTAAAGGTCAAGCCATCATTAAGACAACAACTCTAAAGTTACATTCACAAGGCGCCTTATTTATCATCTTAAATAAATATGATTTCAGCTTCTTTACTACAAATATCTTAATCTAAAATATCAGATTTCCACTAAAAAAATGCAAAAGAAATTGTGACTGGGCCATCCCAATTCAAGGGACAATCAGTCAAATTACCTGTTGGTTTTAAGGTTGCCTTACAGGGATTTTCTTGTTTGATCTTTTAATCTACTTAAGGAATATCTTGTCATAAGTTTCATCATTTCACCTCTAACATGGTAATTTTATTCATTAATTAATTATTTATACTTGTTCAATTATATGTGAATCGCAAATATTTAAGGGCAATTTTCAAAAGCTTCATGACTAGTGAAGAGGGAAGAGAATATTACAAAATGATGGTATTTATGATACTTGGTATAATTTATTGTTGTCATAACTTTATGTGGATAATTGGGTAATTTTGCTGTGCTCCTCTTTTGCATATGGTTGCTGTTGTGTAATGGGATATCTTTTTGAGGTCATCTTCTCAAAATATTGAGAAAGCTTCCGTACTGAAAGTTTCTTAAGATAGATGATGCTTTTTGATTGAAGAAAAGTCTATATTGTCACTGGGTATCAAGGATACTATCTCTGTTGTAATAATCTTCATTCTGTATTTCTAAGTATCATTCTTGTAATCAACGAGGCTAACTTACTTGTATCATCCTTGTAATACTCAAAAATTATATATCGAAAACAGGATCTTGAATACTATTCGAAATTCAGAAGAACTACGCGGAGGAGCCATTGAACAGCTAGAAAAAGCCCGGGCTCACTTGCGGAAAGTGGAAATGGAAGCAGATTAGTTTCGCGTGAATGAATACTCTGAGATAGAGCGAGAAAAATTAAATTTTATTAATTCAACTTATAAGACCTTGGAACAATTAGAAAATTACAAAAATGAATCCATTAATTCAACTTATTCAGAGTTCCTAGAGCTCCTTGTAGGGCGTTTTGGAAAACCCGTTGTCGGACTTCATTATACCTTCAACATCGGAATACAATTCGAGATTCAAAATTTTAAGAAACTTCTTTTCTTCCAAGAAGTAGATTCAAAATTAAGGCAAGGAAGGGCAAATATGAAAATAAGGGTTTCTGTTCGTAAAATTTGTGAAAAATGTCGACTAATCTGCAGGCGGGGACGAATTATAGTAATTTGTTCCAACCCGAGACACAAACAAAGACAAGGATAATCTTTCTAAAAGAGACTCTCTAAAAGACCCAATGTAAAAATAAACAGAAAAAGGACTGTTTTGACATGAAATGGATATATCCATATATCTTTAACTCATATTTATGGGATGATAAAATATGGCAAAAACTATACCAAGAATTACTTCATGTAGAAATGCACGTATTGGTTCACGTAGAAATGTACGTATTGGTTCACGTAAGAATGTGTGTAGAATACCAAAGGGGGTTATTCATGTTCAAGCAATTAAGTTTCAATAATACCATTGTGATTGTTACAGATGTACGGGGTCGGGTAGTTTCTTGGTCCTCTGTCGGTAGTTGTGGGTTTAGGGGTACAAAACGAGGGACACCTTTTGCTGCTCAAACTATAGCAGAAAATGCTATTCGTACAATTGTGGATCAAGGTATGCAACGAGCGGAAGTCATGATAAGGGTCGCGGTCTCGGAAGAGACGTAGCATTACGAGCTATTCTTAGAAGCGGTATACTATTAACTTTCATACGGGATGTAACCCCTATGCCACATAATGGCTGTAGGCCCTAAAAAAAGACGCGTGTAGAAATAAACATTGAAGATATTTCAAAAGAAATAAATGATTCAATGATCTGATTAAATAATATTACTATGGTTCATTAATAATAATTACATAGCACATTTATTTTGCATTATGCCTTAAGTTCAACTTTAAAATAAGAATGTCAATGATAGTCTTAAACGCATTCCCACTCATATCATCATACTTCTTAAAAACTTATCAACTTTGTTTCTAAAATTTATTCCAAATGTTTTAGGGGTAATTTTTTTTTTTTTCAAAATATATAAATAATAATTATATTAATATATTTTAGGTTATATAAAACAAATCAAAAACACTCTTTCCCAAACATGTTTCTTGTTTTTGTTTTAACAAATTAGCCTACATTCCAATTCTGTCAAACATGCCTTGTTTTCAAATTTCTTGAAACAAAAGATGTTGTCAAACATGTTTCTATTTTCGAAACAATACACCGGTTAAAACAAAACACATACCAATTAAACAGGCCCTAAAGAACCCAAAGCACCAACTTTAAGCCTAGCTGCCTTTTATTGCTGGGAAATTTGGAGAGCCAGGAACCATCTGGTTCACGAAGGTGAGTTATCTCAGCTCGTCACCTCCTTCAGAGTGAGTCATGTCCATCAGAAGGGTGGCCAAGCTTTCTAAGGATCATGTTGCTTTTGACCTGTCTGTTTCTTGTATCCCTGCTAAAATTGTAGTCCTTGCGGCAAAAGATTGTATCATCAGTTTCTAATGTATATATTATCTTTCTGACCAGGATATATAAAAATTAAATTAAATTTTCCTAGCCAAATTAAAAATGTTAGTTTAGAGAAATCATAACAAAAAATGATTTTGTTCTATTAGGAAGGGACAAAAAAAGGTTTTACAATATGAGCGTTACATTATACTACGTATCTAATAGTCACAGTACTTGGTGTAGAGAGTTAATTTCTTGCAAAAAAGGTGAACAGCAAATTATTCATATATATATATATATATATATATATATATCTACACACAAGGGAGGAACTAGTAATGGGCTAACCTGGGCTATAGCTCATGTCCAATTGAAAAAAAAAAAAATAGTAATATTGTTCCTATAAGCCCACGTATTACTCTTCCTCTTTCTATTAGCCCAACCCAATTCATAGTATTTCTATAAATTAAAAGAGTTATAAAATTTATAAAGGCCAAACCTTAAAATATGAGCAAACTTACGAATCATGGATAGGCCCAATTACAAAATAAACCGTAATAAAACATAACAGGGCCCGGCTTAGTACGTAAATCAAACATTTTGTTAGTCTATGGAAGAAGACCTAAACTCTTCTTGTGTAAGGCACTAAGGCATAGATGGATGGATATCATGAATTATTATTATTAATCCAGTGAAATATTGATTTTTATTTTTGTGAAAAAAAAAGGGCTTTGTTGATGACTTGATGACTTTTTGTTAAATTTGGTAATTTACTATATAATGGATTAATAATTAGTCGGGCGTGGAGCACATATGTCTTACTTTCTAATGTGAATTTATTGATAAGGAACATATATATCTTACATTTTTGTAGGTGTTTGTTTTAATATTTATATGAAACAGACTTCAGTGGATTCTTGGCTATGAAAATACGTTATAGTTTGGAAGTGTAAATGTGTTAGAAGGTTGTAGATTATTAGGTTTAATTGAATAACTGATGTATGAAAATTCTATATTTAGAGCATGAATGACACACTAAATAATGGATTTAATTATTTTTAGCCTCCTTACTTTCCAATCTTGATTCTGCCTCTGTACTACACACACACACAAAATATATATTGAAAGTCAACCTATCCGGGTTACCGGTTCACTTTTGAATCTACTCTCATTTTCAACACTTCAAATATTTTCAAGTAGTAAAATCTGGGAGAGCTTTCAGCGATCACAACTGGTTATTCAATTATAAAGTCTTCAACTTCTTCGAACGATGGGCTTGAGTAGTGGGCATGTGAACCTGGGAACAAGGACCGAAGAATTTTGAGAAATTCAAACTTGGCCCGCAAGCTTTAGGATGTCGGGCTTCAAAAAGGTTTTTATTTTTATCTTGAAATGGGCTTTATTCGAGCCCGACTTGATTTAAAGAAAGGATTTCGTCAGACGTAAATAAGTATGACCCAGGCAAATATTTTATAGTTTTGAAAAAAAAATTTCCATTGAGTGACCATTTAATTTTAATATCTAAAATACCATTCCTTCTATTTAGAGATCCCCTCTCCTTCTTCCGTCTTCTCCAGGAAAAACAATAAAGGTAAATTCTTTAGAAAAACAGAAGAAAACCACAGAAAAACAATGCAGACCAGAATAACAACTGAAAGAGGGATTCTTATTTAGATAAAAAGGTAATTCTCTTCAATACAAACAAATCCTTCAGCTTTTAACAAGATTTGGGACGGAGAAGAATAAACGATAAACCAATCATAGGGAAGAACAGAACAGCAAGGAAGAAGGCAAACTATAGCTGAACGATATCCCAATATAGAAGAGAAGAAGATTTTAATTTAAATAAAAAAGTAAAGTTGAATGGCATATTTTTTTTAGTTGTATAATACAAGGTAAAGTGCAAAAGAATCCCTCAATTATGTTTAAATTTGCAAATAACCCCCTGAACTATATTTTGTACATAAAATCCCCTAAACTATCACATTTAGTTGTAAAATGCCTTATTGTCTTACCTATTTTTCATTAAATGATCATAATACATTTTCTTATTGAATTACACTTGATATATTTTTCTTGTTAAAATAAAATATGAAAAAAATTAATACTAATTTGATGAAACATTCTCCATTAAAGTTGCATAAGCTTGCTTTTAATTTTTAAATTAATTATTTAAATAAAAATCTTAAATAGAAAATTTTGAAATAATTTAAGTAATTTCTGAATTTTCATGAATATATTGCATTAAAAAGAAGATATTTTTTATTTACGTAATTTATTAATTTTTCATGAATATTGTTTGAAAAAGAATATATTATTTTATACTAAATTTTTTTAAAGTGAGTATAATAAGTTTTATTATAATAAGTTAATCATTTTAGAAAATGATATCTACAATTTTTTTTTATAATAAATTGATACTAATTATAACATTAAGGTAATGGTGTAATTAATATTTAAATAAGAGAAAATATAATAAAAAATAATTTAATAAGAAATGACAAATTTAATAACAAAGGGTAAAATAGTCTTTTATGATGGGTTTGTCCTTAATTGTAACAAATCAATAGTTTAGGGTGGCAATATTTAGTTCAGGAGGGTTAGTTGCAGAAAGCTAATAATTCAGGGGGGTTTTTGCATTTTACCCTATAACATATCATATAAAATATAACTGTTATTTTTAGAAATGTGACGTTAATAATCGCCGTTAGATGTTCATTGAACGTCCAGTGAGAGAGTAATTGGAGAGTATTTTTTTTCTTCATGTAATTAACCCTTTAATTTAATGATTCTAAGGCCAACCAAAATTATACTATCATTTAAATTCAAAGGTCTTAAGTAAATGGGGGACATATCATCAAAACATGTGGCCTTGTGGTATCCCTTTTACTTTTCAATGGAATAGATGATGAGAGTTGATGTTCCGACAGGGATAAATAGGTTTGTGAGTTTTTTGTTAAAAAAAAAAAAAAAAAAAAACATATGACTTCGGAAAAATAATAATAATAAAAAATTGGTAAACATATGTTAAGAAAAAGAAAATGTATCACAAGAAAAAGGAAATCTTCTGTTTGTTTAGCAATATATGATTTGCAATAAGATCTGCTTAGGTTGGAATCCCGAAACACATATTTGGCAAAGGTAGGTAAATTAGTTGCATTTCATAGGTCAGTAGTACACCTAAACTAAATACATGAGGTCCCTTGTTTGACAAGGTTAGCTTGTGCATTGGGATTTCTTGTTAGCATTCTTCTTCTTCTTCTTTTATTATTGGATGGGGAATGGGGTAATCAAACTTATGTTCGGGAGGATTGAATTTAAGTCTTGAAAATTAAAAAACTAATATTTTTTTAAAAAAATTGATTTAATTTCTAAACACTGATTCTGTATTTTCAAATACATCATATTATTTCACTCATAATTTAAGAATGGCGACTGTTATTTCAGTGTTGTTATGTTCAATATAACACCATTAATTCTTCAAAAACACCTCTTTTAAACTTTTAAGGCATATAAATTATATAGAGAGAGAAGGAGATATGTTTTCTTGCACTAGGAGCACCACGTCATTAGTATCATATAACTATACTAAGTGATACATAGTTGCCTAAATAGCTTAGTTAATTAGTGCATCTAGTAAATCTTGAAATGGTAGGATTCGATTCTATGCATGTATTAATTTAACATTTAACAATTCTTGTTTTGTTGAAAATATAATAAAAATCATTAAAGGTACCATGTCATCAGTATTTTTGAAGCATTACGTCCAACAATTCTTGCCTTACAAAAAATAAAAAAAAGAAATTAATTTATTAAGTAGTATTAAAAGTTTGAGAGAGAGGAGGGAGTGGAGAGAGTCTTGTAAATGGCTGCCTGTTGCATCCGTAGCTATCCTTAATGGAAGCGTAAGGGTTGAAGTTGAGTTTGTGCATTTCTACGAGAAATATATTATTCTTCTTACTTATTGTATTGATGACATGATATCACTAATTGATTAAATATTAACACGTAATGATTAAAGATATTAAAATAAAGTATTGTAACAATGTATAATTTAATGATATAAATAATTGAGAAATTTTTTTCTTTGCCGACGGGAATACATGTATAAATATATATAGTCTCGATGACTTTCTTTTGCACCGATGGCTATTATTAACCTTAATGGCTCGCGTCCTTCAAGTTACAGGAATAGTCTTACCTAACAACCAATGTATTGACT